CCCCTGCGCTCAGACGCGTTTGTATGGCGAAGTGCGACGACGCCGTTTGGTGCACGCCCATTGTTGCTTTCGGACGACGCCCCTTAAAATGTCGTGGATGCATCTGTCGCTCACCCATCAAAATTTAATAAAATTCTAAACTTTGTCAAATAACTTCTTTTGCGTGATAATGATGTGATGCTGTTTTTCACTGTAGTTGATGAACATCAACTGTTGTTTTATTATCATGCTACCATCAACCTAGTTTAATATCAGATCTACGTGCAGCCACTCGTTTAAAATAGTGATTTTATGAACACTTGATACACTATTTGATTGACATTACGTCTGTTTTTCATCACAAATATGGTACATTCAGTCAACAAGGCAACCGAAAAAGTGGGATTGTCGCAAATAACAAAAAAAGCACCGAACCACGCAATAACGTGAGAAGGCAATAAACAAGGGATATTGTATGTTGCAAATTTTGAAGATACGGTATCGATAAGGTCTTGGAGGTGAAAATTCGTGTATCGAATGCATCGCTTATCGAGACTTTCGGCAACTTTTAGTAGCAGGTGAGAGGGTGGGAGTTATTTCGGTTTTTTATAAATCTGTTTAATAGAAAATGTTGAGTTTGGAGAAATGCAGGTTTCAAGACTTACAGTTAGCTTTCATTACACTAAATTTCAGCAAAAAGAATGAATTAGAGATTGTTTCATTAGCATCTGGTGAAACTGATGGCTTTCAACGACCGAATGCTTTATCGATAGTTCGAAGTGATACCTCTGAAGAGAGACAAGCCGTACCGAAAGCAGGTATATCATTTGGCATCGCCAATTCAACCATTTTCGAGTGGATCCGTTGTCAGTCGGAGCATTGGTTAACCACAAATTTAGCATTGAGATAGTGCTTGAATTTAGTATGATACTATTCGTTGAGCATATCCTTATCTTTTTAGATGAAACAGGATGAATCTCGTTCTTATGATCGTGTCATTATTCAGATGAGGAATGGTTTGAATTTCATTCCGTAACACCAACAAGTGATGCGCACTCACCGATTGCGATTATTGTTGATCACAACCAACATATTCCATCTTCATCGAATTTAATTAAAGACGAATTCAATCAACACAGTGCAATTTCATCTTCATCAAAAAATGTTGCTGAAAGCTGCAATAACGTTACAACCAATGATCCAGTTGCAGATATTGAAATTATGGAGAAATCACTTATTTCTTTATTAGATGACTTTAGGTCGGGGAGAATGAATGCTTGTGAGTTGTTTTTAGTTGGATTTTGTTTTATTTTATCATTCCATCGAACTTACACTGATTTATTGGCAAAGGTATGCCATTCATTTTAAATGTGATACCTCGGGAATTTTTTGAGTTAAAATGATCGAAATCATCCAATAATAATAATGGTAATATTTCTTTCTTCGCCAGATCAAGCCCGGGTCTACATAACAGAAATACATCCATAGGGGATAATAGCACTTATATTGTCGGCTGTTGGCCGACATGATAACGATGAAAGTATGATTGTATTTAGTGAGTGAAGAACGACTTAATCAAATGCGGAATGCACGTAAGGATATGGAAGAATTGACGGCATTCCATGTTAAACTGCATCGTCAACAGTTATCCAATCAACCCACGTCAACGTACTCTTCTTGTGCTATCAGTTTTACATTTTTTCGATCTTACATATGAGCAATATCAGATGGCATTATCTAAAGTTCTTGAAGACAGCTTCATCGCCAAAAAATAACAAACTAATGCACCTCCTCTCTCCCCATTCAAGCAGAAACATTCTTCAGTGATGCTGAATCTTTGGACGAGCAGTATGACGCACTCTTTCGAAGGCTTGATGAATTGCATAGTTCGATGTAAGATTTTTTTAGATAATTAGTTTTTGTTGGTGGTATTATACATCAACACTTGACTGTAACATGGAAAGTGGACGAAAAGTGCAATGAGTACTAACAATAATATTGCTAATAACGAATACCATAATAATTTTGTTTTCAATGTGAACGCTGTAAAGAAGGCTATGAAGGCTATTCTTTGGACGTTTGAGTTGATGAGTTTCAATCATTCTTTTAAAGTTGAATTGTTCAGTACAATGACATTTTTAAAAAGTAATGAAACGGATGTTTAGGAGAACAATGGCGTTCGGGTATGATTCATCAGATTATTCGCAGAGCAATTCTTCAAATGTAACTATACCAGATGAAACAACTGCTTGAAATCCCCTCTTTCTACTTTGAAGTGTTAATGAAAAGCAAATGAGGGATGTATTACCCTTACCTGTATTAATATCTCTAAAGGGAACAAACAATAGGAGTCTGTTACTCCTAATCCTCTGAAGAAAGATGGAGACTTCGCACAGTGACATCGCTCCCTCAGCACACCACCAGACTTCTAGGCATTGTGCATGATCAACGAAGGCCCGTATGTCTCCTGTTAATGAATTTATTGTTACTCTCGTAATTGTGTTTTGCGATATTGTTCGCTCGCTATTCTTTTTATCAAACGACTATTATGTAACATTTCCAACGAAACTTGCACCGCTGATCATGCATGACTCCTTGTAAACAATTTTCTTCAAAGTTTATTAGCAATGCTCCTTTCGTAACCAATAATTTAACACAATTCGTTTTTACATTCACATATTTTATATATGTACCGTAAATATTGCATAGAATAAACCATTTATAAGCCAAAGTGCTTGCAGCTAATTCGACTTAATGATAAACACGCAGATATGAAGAAACGTCAATTGATCATATGAAATAATGCGCACACATTAACACCCATCAAATATTTACAGGTTATAAACAGTTCCTTTTAACGTCTTTTTTTGGAAACGTTTGCCCAAAATAGACGACCACTATTCAAACATTTTGAAGAATTTCCTGATGAGCATTCCAAACGACTCATAATGAAAGCATCGTTGTATTCTCATCATCCACACTTCCAAAAAACAAAAACATTTCGATTTAAACAATGTGAAATAACGATGACAGTTACAGGTCAGAAGTATTTGACGTTGACTGGTTTACGTTTGAAGGCGTATAGACATAGCACTCGTTTTCATTTAGTTTCATTGGTGTACCACTAATAGATATCGTTTCTACTTTGAGATTATCACATTTTGGCGTGCCGAACTCAGTGAACGAACTTTCAGATGATGTGTTACGATCGTCATCTTCATAAGCGATTTCAGAATCGTACACTTCAAGTTTTGAAACGAATGCCGTTGAAAAGTGTTGCGTAAGCTCATGCTCATATTCGGCGAAAGGTCTTCTTGAACCTTTCAGAATACTATCTGAAAACAACTATCGATTAGCACGATCTGCGGAAAAACAGAAACGTTCTCTGGTTGAATCGAGATGTTTGCGTCACTAATGTTTTTGATTTTATTCAGAATTAATCTGAAAAATGAATATGCAGTTCAAGAAATTCTAACAATCAATTCAAGCAAATTCTAGATGAAATCGTAAGAATGAGATGCTGTAAGCCAACTCGAAACTGTAAGGTGGAGAAACGAAACGTAGCTTACCAATGACCCACTGAACAACCACTACTCGTACAGGCTTTGTTTTTGACATGAATTTGATGATATTTGAGCGATGCTTACAACCACTTATTACAACATCAGCTTCACAGATTCGTTTCGTCAACTGAATCGAAGCAGCTTATTGAAAACGTTGAGCAAACAACGCAATTTCATTAAAGAAAACAATGAGTGATTTTACTTATCTGGTCAAATTCATCAGACGTAATGTCTTGACTGAATGACAACAGTACCATCATTGAATAGTTGAATGAAGCGTTAGATTTGTCAAATGTTGAAGCGTTAAGTTTAAATTTAAATGTTGAATATTTAAACAATAAATACCTTGCCACCACCGTAAGAGATGAGAAATGTTATCGTCTCATAAGGTAGAGAACATCCTGTTGAAACGAAAAACAACTCTGAACCAGCAAATAAATTCTTCATCCCACGACCCTTGCAACGTTTATACATTCTATACCACTTCGGAATGCAATAAGTATTCGTCGGATTTAACCAACAACCCTTTTCCCATGATTTATACACCTAGAATCATTTTCGTGCTCGTCATGTTTCGTTTCAAACAATCATTAAAACATGCAAGAGCAACAGACAAAAGAAAGTTGATAGTAAATTTCATTACATATTCAACTGTAACTGATTAATTTCAACTGCTCCTATTCCTATTCATCTGCAGATGTAATCCATTTAAATATGCTCTAATTCTTATCAACTTTATCGAGAGCACAAAAACTGGAATTCGATCACAACTCAGTAAAAGGAAATGTTGTGAATTGATGAACCTACCCATTCTTCACCAACGATTCGTACGCCAATTAAGATTGCTTTCAAATGGTTCGATGTTATCCTGGTGTCGTTATCAACAACCAATACTTTTGTATGTTGATTCACACAACGTTTATATTCGTAAACACCTAGTCTTCTAATTCGTTCTCGTAACTGATTCTTCAAACTATAAAGCATTTTAGTTACAAAGGATATCTGATGCTCTCGATGGTCAACAAGTGGTTAACAATCACTCGAAAACACATACGTTTCACAAGTCACTGAAATGACGATATTACGTCTAATATGAGTGCGTTGATTGGTGAGTTCGGGTGGTGTAGGCATCAGTTGTAGTGCATTCAAAGCGTTCGATTTAGTTTTTACTGCAACTGGCTCAATGCGAAAGTCTGAAAGGATTTCACCCGTGGAGCAGTAATGAATAACCTCAGATGATATATTCAATCACGGCTAACAAACAACGTTCTCGCCATAATCACACTACGAATCTGAATCATTTTATCGCGATGAAGGCCATCAAGATAATCATCTTAATAAATCTTATCCATCATCGGCGAAAAAATAAATTCAGTTCAAGTATTCAATAATGTACCGTTTAGTGCTGCGCTTATGAGGTCAATCTGTTCGTTGACACCATTTTTCTGAAATGAACCTAATTTGATTGGAATTTCACGAAGAATTCAGAAGTGATATGAATGATATTTTGTAAAATTAGCATCCCAAAATGAATTCTTTTTTTTCAGTTTTCCATCGAAAAAACAACTGAAGTCTAAATTCAACCAACTTCTTTCGGGCATCTTGAGTCATTCCTTATATGCTTTTCACTTGTTTGCTCGGATGCCATTTCCAGTTCTTCTTTTAACGAATATAACAAATACGGAGCTTCCGAAACATACTTTCGTTGTTGGTTACATATGAAAAGAACGAAGTATATCATCCGCAAAATAAACATTCGCGTTGGTCGACAACAACAAAATTGCCCATGATATTGGGATGAATGCAATTTTGTTGAGACTATAAAGCGAATTTAATGAGAAGACGCTAAAAGCTGGCATGCAAGCATTACTGTTCGGAAAATCTAAACCAGATTTTCTCAAGGGTACGAGATGGTATTCCAGCGGACAGAGATGAGGTTTTATTGTTTATACATTAAAGCAAGCGAGCACAGAGTTCAAAGTATATATTTTTGGAAAGGCTAGAACGCACTCTGATGGTGTACATTTATCCGTATTACATTTATCTACACCTACTGTAGTGGATGTTGTGAGGGGTGCAAGAACATTTTAACTGTTGTTGTAGGGGATCCGAGCACATCTTGAAAGTTTATAGTGGATGCAGAGACGGGGGGGGGGGGGGGGGGGAAGGATGAGAACCACTGATGTAAACAAATCAAAAAATCAGTCAGTTTAAAAAACCAGTAACAAACTGCTTCATATCTTTTCCGCACAAACGACTAGATAAAAATGAATACCACACTGACAATTCTGCTATTACTTGAAGAGACAAGAAAGCAGCCAAAATATGGACACAATCAACTCACTCTGAAATCCATAATGGAGAAACAATCAATGGACGACGTTTCAAAAGTAGCGCATTTTTACAAGTACGCGAATTGAAGTCTGTTGAGACCACGTGTGTCACATTCTCATTTAGTCTGAAAGTAACCATTCTGTACGGTAACGATTTCGAGAGAATCACACCAAAGAGCTCGACATGCTTCAAGAAGTAATTTGTCAACAAACATCGGTGAAATCGATGCGCCCAATGTCATCAGTTTATTGCGCAGTTTGTGCTCTTCTGTAGACACTCCATCCAAATGCACAATTACTCCTGAACATAAACAAGAGTTCAGTCGACAGAATAAACGAAAACATAGTGATTCTTAAAGACAAGATTATGAAAAGTTACTCAATTACTACCAAGAAAACAACATGCCCTGAAGGATTGCTCGTCGTTTCGAGTTCTTCTCCTCTTTTTGTCCATTTGAAGAAACAGATGCAGATCGCTCTGTATCAAACGAGAAACAACTTTCACTGTTTTCATCCGTCATTTTTACTTCAAAATCAATATATCATCACTCGACAACTTGCATACAAATTGATGAGACTAAATTAAGTAGGTAAACGAGTGAAAAGTGACAAGTTATTTGTATGAGTTGGATTATTATAACATAAAAGTATTCGTATCAAATTTAAACAATTGAAACTTCGCAAATGGTTTCAAATAGCTAAATATCCTAAGTTATGCGAAAATGAACCATTTTCGATGAGAAATATTCCACTTAGAAAACCCGTCTAATCAACTGCTGCTTAGATTTGATGTCCGTTCAGTTGATTGCATTCAAACCTTTGTTGAAGCGGGAAAACGAAGAAAGTGAGCGAATGGGTGGTCTTACTGTAGATATCCATCCGTCGTTGAACTGAGTCGATTTCGCTAAATGTCTTAATCACGAACAAAATTTGCGACACTATGCTAGTTTTGTTTAGAAAGTAAAGTTATTTTTCGAAAATTTTCAAACAAGACAAAAAATGATTCTTACAGATCCGCTCCTAAATGGTGCGCTATCATGGTCAACAATTATTTTGCTCAACTCACAATCAGTTATAAAGGAAAAAATCGATTATGTGAAACTACCATAAATGTTTGCTTTCGAGATAGCATAATTTCAATTTTTTCAAAGACATCATTCGATGGATACTTGAAGAAGAACTGAAAACTTTGCAATCAATCCTATACATATCGCAAAAACATTCTTTGAAAAGAAATAAAACAAATGAATTTTTATGGTCATATATGGTGTACTAGGGATGAACCGGAAGTCCGATTCAGTGGCATTTGAAAAGCGGAATAAAGTGATTGCTAGTTATAAACGCTGATGAGAACATGCTAAAAACTTTGTTTTCATGAAGTGAATGAATGAAAAAGAATATTAACCTCAAGTACATTGATAGCGATTCTTTAGTGGATGCTAGTTCCCTCATTGTAAGATGTACAAGTACACTATTACGGCTGGTGAGACGATCGGTTTCCTTAGCTGACCACTGAAAAGTGGCCAATTAGTGAAGAGAAGAAGGCAAAAAGGTTCGGATCCTGACTTTGGAATTTCTTGCTTTTTATTTCCGAATTTTATTTTAGATCTAGTTTCGAGTTTTTTTTAGGTCCTATAGCGTACACTAAGAGGTGTCATACCAGCTGCTTTGGAAATTCAAAAGGGGAACGGGGAAGAAAGTGTGTAATTTTTCAGAACCTATTTTTGTCTACTTGATAGTGAGCTATGGTGCTAGATGCGTCATAGCATAGTTGTAGTGTTGCTGTATTGTGTTCGCGTGGCAGAGCACGGTTCGGATTCTGTTTTTGAATCTTTTAGCATTTTGTTGTTGGAATTTATTCCAGATCCAGCTTTAATGTTCATATATCAATGTTGCTTGCAAAAAATGTTCCTATCAATAGTGTTTGGTTGCAAAATACAACTCCAGCCAGCCGGATTCGAACCAGCGACCTAAGGATGCCTGCGCCAACTCTACAGTCCTCCGCTCTACCAACTGAGCTATGGCTGGAACTGTTTATATTCTAGACCAACAGCACTCTCAATTAGTAATATTCCATTAAACAAATCATTCATCGATGGAACGGTTTCACATTTTATGAAATAATTCGAAGGAAATGAACAAAAACTATGTGATGAATGATATGTTCAGCAATTAATCCATTAACGTTTCGATAGCGATGAAGAATTGAAATTTATCAACAAGTTCATTTGTACCGTCGTCAATTGTCCACATGACAACCCAAAATTATCCTCAAGCGAGTAATTCGCCTCCCCTTCCTCTCCCGTATGAGAAACACTCGTCTATAGGATCAAAGGATTCAATAGTATTTGGTTGCAAAATACAACTTAAGCATTTCGAAATATTATTGAATAATGCCGGCAGAAATATGATTTAAAAAATCAGTCAGCAATGCTTTATCAGCCGCAAGAACCCTCTCAGGAGGATATGTCCATCATGAGAACCGCTGATACATCGATTATGCATAATACACACAATAGATCCTCGCTTTATGAACCCAGTTCGCTTCAAAAATTTTGTCGCAATTCCAATTGGTCACAAACCGAACGTATTTTGCCATACTGGTTACTCAAAAATTGATTCATTCATTTTGGATTTATTGGTGGTGTAGTATATCATCAACATTAGTGACAGGCTCTTCATAGAATTCAAGATATGGCCGATGAGGAAAAAAACGGAACAAGAAAAAAAGAGAAAAAAATAGTTAGTCAAAATCATACTCATCTAAAAGTGCAATGAATTGAAAAAACGATTCGCAGAAATCTCGTCAAAAAATTTAGCACGTTTACATATTAGAAAGCTTATTAAATTTTTGCAAACTTCAATCGAAAACGATCATGACTCTTCGCTGACAACTTCGATTGTAACCTGGTTTGGCCGTAATTCGACAAGTATGATATGCGTTCGTGAATAATCTTATTACATGTACTCTAATGCTCAGTTCCTAATAGAATATAAAATGTTTTTAACAAAACTCGTTTTCAAAAATTATGTAATACACAGTGTTGATCAAGAAAGAGACAAATTACACCACCCATATAAAGTTGAATCGGAGTTAAGACAACCAAGTAAATTGGAACTGTGCAATTGAAATTTGTTTTTGATGTGTGACTTGTTTCACTTCCATTCACTTTTCTACTATTAATCATTCCGTGCCGTTCATTTGCATTTTTTTTCGAGTAATTTCATTATCTATTCGGCTTCATTTGATTTCATTCAATTTTCAGCTTCACTATTGTTTTCGCAGACACTTTTCAATGATGCCTTTTTTTGACTCTAACGTTTCACAGTAATTGCCTCCGAATGTTTGTTTTTGTAGGTGGCAAAACAAGAACAATTTTCTGCCTAAGAAACGTTTCCACCAAGCTCATAAACTCACTTTATGCATCTTCTAAACAATTTCCATTGGATTGCTCAAGTTCATTTCATGATTACATACATACGTTTGCTAAAACAACCATATTGAGGACATATTTGACTCGATGTCATATCTGAACCAGTGAGTGCCTTCCCAAACTATGTGCACTTCATCGAAGTTTCTCCATAGCTCATTGAGTGCAAGAATTTTCTGATTCATGCTCTTTGATATTACTATAATTTATACTGAACATTTCCGTGATCATTCATAACTCGTTCTAAAAATTTCGACTCTGCCTCTCAGTCACTTGATAAAATTCTCTTCATTTCCGAGTCTTCTCGATTGTTGTCCACACAACTCCCTTGTTCGATCAATGCTTATCATTGATCACCAATAATTCAAATGACGTGATAGGGAGTATTTCGTCCGATTCGACAGCAGTTAGATATTATGAAGGAATAAAATATCTGCACCTTACTATTAGCAATCATTGCATATAAGCAATAGTTGCACAATCATTTTTCAATACATTTTCTCAGCCTGAACGTAGTGATTGGTTTCAAGCAAAATATCGGTGTACAACTTGGAAATGCACACTGAAAGTGTACTTTTGACGTTCCGCGCTAAAATGATAAACTGAAGGTTTGAAAATAGTTCCCAAATGTGTTGAGAAAGCATGTGACGCGAATATCCATATCATTGTTATATTCGGTGCTCATTTTGCCTGTTAGAGAATATAACGGATGCATGACGGGGACATATATTGCATGATGGAGGGTTTATTGGAAACAAATAATTGAGCAGCAAATTCAATTATTATGATTGTCACATTCGAGTTTCATGCGGTTTATCATGAACAAAAGTATTTGGTTCGAATAATAAATCAATGATTGAATTCTGCCAATCAATCACATAGCCATATACAGCTGTTCGTTCGATTTATCTTACTTACAGTTAGTTATTATATCATGTACTTTACTGCATTATGGGATTCTATCATTTCTGGAGCAAAGTACACGAAAGCACAACTGAAAAAATCCACCTTGGAAAAAAAACGTTTTTCCAGTGTTTATCCAAGCAAAATACACTTTTTGAATGATCAATCGGATTGTCACAGTAATTTGTCAGAGCAAAAAAAATGATTAGATCGATTAATGTATTGATTAATAACAGAAGCGAAAAACTGCTGGATTCGATGCTCACTGATCATTGTTATTTAATAAAACTCTGTGATTTCCCGATAACTCTTACCCACCTATCTAAACAAACTATTTATTATAGCATCTCTGCGACCATAATTTTTTTTAGAATACCCTCTTGGAATGCTTTCTAATAATCAATAAAATATTGCTGCTGTGAATATTACCTACTCCTCAACACACAATCACATGACCATAATGGTTATTTCAATTGTAATCACTTCTCGTCTTCATGGAAGTTATCCAATCCTTTCCCATAATAATAATAGTAATGGTAATAATGACAATAATTATGATAATAATAATAATAATAATAATAATAATAAACTAATAATAATAATTATAACAATAACACTAACCATGGATCAGAAACGGAAGCAAAAAAAAGAGAACAACAAAGTAAAAACCAAAATGGAGAATTAGCGCAAAAATGCAAACAAAAAATTACTCAGTAATCATTTCGTTAACAACATTAAGAAATTTAGATTTGTGAAGAGAAAAACGAATAAAAAACAATGAATCCATTATTCTTTTATGCAAAAATTAAGCAGTTCTTTAGTGAATCTACAAAATCACTCCCGATAATTTCTGTGCAAACTTTTATATTTTGGCATGTAAACTGGTTCTTGCTTGACGAATCTGATGAATGCTTCATATGCGCTTCACTGGTTCACCTCAAACTTTAGCTCTGATCCGAAACAATAGATTTTGGTAATATTAAGCTAAAGAAATAGATGGTTACTTCTCATCGAACACGCTCATTTCACGGGCAAACTTCAGAATGAACTGTATTCCTTACTTAATTTCATTTAGTCATAACAATATGAACTGAAATGCTGAAAAGTTCCGTTCATTTTATCCTACTTTATGTTTCCGTTCAACAGCGCACTGAGAAGACAAAATCGCATTATTTTCCGTTCATTCTTAATAACAGTTGTTATTTTAAGAATGAATGTGAAAATTTGTTATTACAATGTGCAACATTTCCAAATTTCCAGGTGATATACTCCAGAAATAATATAAAACAAAAACAACACAACACCGCAGCAGAATGATTCATGTGTTCAACAGTCCTATAGATCCATCATCGATGAGCGAGTTTCAACGACCCAAAAAAAGTGGTGAAAGTTTATTTAAAAGCGATTCTGTGGTTAGTGAATTGAATTTTGTAAATATGACTATCATTATGTTTTCATACAATTGATTTTTATACTTTCTATACGGCATTAAGCAATTTTTTTCATGATTTAGCCTAGTCATCTCATTCGATATTCACATAAGTTCATATATTTGATGACTTTCAAATTAACAATTTGGTAAGTATGATTGATTGACTTTGTGTTCAGATAAGTTTTGCTAGTATACACAAATTAATTCTTATTATGAAAGGTATCGATAATTCAAAAATGTCACTGTGAGAAACTTCAGTAATAATGAATTGCGTTTTATTTATTATGCCAAGAACAGAAAACTGATTAATATGGTTGCTTCAACAGAATAAAAGAAAGATCACATATACCGAAGATGGTCGACGTGTTATCGATGGTAAAGTTGAAATGGAGCAAAAACCAAATGAACTTTGGTCAGTTGCGCTTACGCGTTCAGTGGTTGGTGACTGGAAGGACAAATGTGACGAACGTCTTGTTGAAAGGAGATGGAATTTCTGGGAATATCGTAAGAATTTTTTTTGATTTCATCGTGTTACATTAATTCATTCATAATAGTTGAAAACGACGGATGCAAATGATTGAAGACTATGCAATTGTTTTTTGCTATAATTTCATTGATGAGCAATTATCTGATTTCATTTTCAGTTCGGCAGATTAACGAACGATACCAACTTTCGAGCAAGGCTTACAGTGTTCCACTGTTAATCATTGTGAATATTGTTCTGTTTGTATTGTTTGTACGCGTGTTTTTCTTTTGAATATTCCATTTCAGTTGCATATTTTATCGTTGTTATTGTCACTTTCATTTGCTATCTATTTTCAGATCATATTCACTGTATGAGCGAATAGAGTAGTCGTTGTTTTATTGCTGTTGATCAGAGCATGATTTCACCTCAACTAGACGAAACTGTTTTATTGATAAAAGCGAAATAATTTGCTGCTATCTCCCGGAACGATTAGGAAAACAAGTTGATTTCTCCCCAAATGTCCCTTACTCAAAATATGCTTGAATTCAATACTTATATTTCCTGAGCCGGAACAACATTTTTTTACATGTCTGAATTGCCCTTCATTTTAATACCATTTCGAACTGAATCATTTATTCACAACTTTAATACAAGACTGTTGCGTGCAGCAACGTGATGAACAACTTCTTCGAAGGTGTTTTACACATGCGCATTCACATTGCTGTTTGTTAATGCACCGCCATGAAAATTACCGAAAACTGACGGATCGCTCTCAGAAATATATACATCTTGTGCAAGTATGTCCTTCATCAATGAGTCGTCGAAACTGAACAAAATATTTCTTCATCGATATTTCATACATTGTTATTAATCAGTGATGCATCCAACTCTATTAATGCACATATGCCGTCGATATCGATAAACGAATAAAATGTTTACAACGACAATTATTCCACACTTGTTTTCATGGTTCGGATCTGATATTGGATCACGATTCAATTTTTGATTAACATTCATCGTAGTGATTGATTCAAGTACGTTTTTACGTTGACTCAAGTATGTTTTCATTCAATGTTTTTACGCTATCCTTCTTCATTTTACTACTTTAATGTTGAAATCATCAAATATTTTTCAAAACGTGTATGTAAATATATTTCATCATTTTTCCGACAAGTCGTCCACCAACTGACTATCATTTCATAATCATCAGTTCAAAAAAGTGCATTGTATCACCTCATTAATAATAGTTGATATCAGAAACCAAATTCAAGTTTCAAAAGCGGACTTATCATCACTTATTCATCTCTCCAAGGTCCCAACTGGTTTACCTGATAACTCCCTTTTCTCCCCGATTCTATTCATTACAGCGCATCTTTCGAAGATATTGACGCCAAATGATTGCTTCGATTTTCGCATCTGCTTTATATCAAAATAAATTAACACAGCAAGCGACTGCATGATGTTCGCACGAATTACCTTCATTCCACGAATAGTTTCTCATTTATGTTTTCGCCACATCATCTTCACTTAAATTTTAAAACATTATTTCACTTGTCAATTCAATTATATCTTTTTCTTTTATTCAACGGTATTTGTGAATCGCACATCGAATCTAAGAAAAACAGATCTGTTGATAAAATCCTGGTAGGGCTTAGAAAAGATCAATTCATTCATTCATTTATGATATCTTCGATGAGATTGCACGTTTGAAATTATATTGGCAGCAGCAGATGATCTGGAACCGTACGTTTTACTGATATTTCAAACTATATCCAATTTCATCTTCAAAAGTTCAATCTTTATTTGTTTCCAAATGTGAACAATCATTCTCATAACAATTATTCAATACGAACTTTCAAAAAAAGAACCGCGAAACAATTCGCTAATTTCTTAAAGATCATATAATCACACGCGATCTAAACATTAATTAAGGTGTCCATTTATTATGATGCATATGCTATAGACAAGAATGAATTACGAGACTGTAATACGTGCTATTGTGACGTCAATGATCGGAGATCAATGAAAAATGACTGATATTCATCTTGCAAAAAAATTGAAAATTTATTTTTTATAACAACATATTACCCAAACAGGAACACAATCAACGATGAGCATCTTTACTCAGATCCGAGCCAGAGATACTTTTCGCGATCTACACATATCAGAAACGAAAAGCAAGTACCAGCGTGAATAAACATGTAATTTTAAACCAGCTACTGCTAAGCTAGCAGATCCACTGTACTTAGCACCTTCACTCCAGAGTTCTACGGAAATCATGATAAAGCCAAGCAAGCGACAGGCTCTGAGTGTCCCACAATCGCTCATTGTCACTGTTGCTCCAAGTCTCAAAGAGAACAACGCTGTGATAACCGTTTTCTTCATAAGTTTCCAATTATACGGATTACTGAACAAAGAGCTGAACAACGGTTCGAAATGAATTCCAGGTATAATAATGAAATGAGATCACCTCAATCAGTGCATATAACGAATGATCTTAATATCAACAACATTACTCATGTTCAATATTGTATCGTACTTGAAGTAGAGCAATTTGACAGCATAACAAAATACAAAAATGACAACGAAAATGGTGCAATAAAACATTTCATCTGAAAGCGTTGTGGTTAGAAGAGAAACACCATTAAAAATCAAATAAAAAATAGTTTAACATACCATACAAGATCTACGAAGTACACAATTGAAAAGAAACATTTCATGAACGATTTAGAAAATATTAATATGCATTCGGTTGGAAACATCGATAAATTAGGGAGCAGTCTCTTTCAAAAACAGATTCATGAATATCGCATCTGTAAACAACGTTCATTTGTTGTGCACTCCATACTCAAAAAGAACCATCTCAAACACTTTCGAGTAAACTAATTAAAAAATGATAGTTATAATGAGTTTGAAGAATCCAACCATTTCTTATCACTATTTCAATACAGAAAATTATCGCTCGATACGTTATACATTTGTTTTCAGTATTCGCTTCCAATACAATAACTGAATAAATAAGTTTATCACAAAGGATCGCAACACCACACAAACTATTACTCCATTTGAACAGATATTGTATGATCACCTCCAAACAATCCGACAGCTGAATGGCATAGTGTTGTTTGGTGATCGGATCCTCCTGGCAACGCCAGTACCAATTTACCGACCCATGAAGGGATGGAAGGTTTGGTGGCCCTTGGCGACACCCATCTTCGATACATGACGCGTTAAAAATACAATTCAATGGGACAGTATAAAATATGATTCATAATTAAGGCTGAAAATATACAACATGAAAATAATTTGGAACGGCTTTTCTCATTGATTAGTTCAACTCGAGAAAACCTTATTTGTATCTTATAAATGTTACAGCATTCAAAGAGGTCAACAAACAGTTATTCACACAGACGAGTTAGTGATCATACCACAAAACAACTCATTAACTTCATCCATATGAAATGACAAAAGAATCAACCTTGAAATATATTAGCTTTTCAATGAAATGAACATTGTATAACTTTCCATTACTTGCGCATCAATCGTATGAGCTTTGAAGAGTTCTTTCTCGATTGTTTCACTGAATTCAAACAGTTCCTTCCAGTGCTGCAACAATGACAATAATAATGATGATAATACAACACAGTTGCAAAATTGCTGTAAAATTCTATGCGGACATGCGAAAATTCAGTGATTCTAGTGGCACAATAGTCCTTATGATTAAACCCCAATGACACAGCAAACAAAAATGAAATCTATATTGCTGAACGAACTAAATCATAACAAACCTTCAAGAAAAATCCCCTAAATCGAGCGGTGAAGTATTTGTACCAACTTGTGTTCACATCCTCTCCTTTAGTGTCGCAGTTTACGATGTGTTCAGTTAGTTTTACAGTGAACTTCTACAAAATAACAACAACGATAATCGTATACAATAAAAGAGAGAACCTTAGAGGATTTGAATGATGATTTAAAAATCAAGCAGTTAGCGCATCAAAACAATTTGACGTGAACAAGAGAACACTCACATGCAGGACGTCAAGTAATAGGTTCTGAAGGTATTCACGTAAATCTTCGAACTCACTCTCCAATGACCCTAAGTCTTCATCGTTCTGTTCATCATCATCAAATTCCTCCTCATCTTTACTTGCATCATCATTATCAATCTTATCAGTGTCCATCTTCAATATTCATTTGATAACGTTTATCAGATACACATTTAAGACAATATAACAGAAAGCGAAATATTCAGCAAAATAAACAAATTTTAACTGATACGTCATTTCATGTTATGCTATCCGATTAGATTCTTCAATAAAACATTTTCTCAGCGGAAAGTTGATGAACAACGAAAATGACCCGAAAACACATAAAAGTGTTTATTTGAATTAGTTTTTTTCGGTGAAGGGATAATATCTCAAACGTACATTCTCCGAGTTTTGATGCGATGACTTATTTTTGCCTGCGCTTTTTCTTTGAGCATTCTCCAGTTTCTTACGACATCTCCGCAAATGTCCAATCACATGCTCCACTGAACCACACAGTAATTCCCATGTCCACATCCTTAAATCATAAACTAACTCACATTTGTTTTAATTCTATCCGAAGTCTGGTGTCGATGACCATCAAGTACAGTTGCAAATCATACAAATATAATAAACAACATAGATCAAAGTGGTAGATCGAAGCAAAGCGAGAAAGAATCACTACGAGATCGGCCAGGAATATTTCACGGTTCCAAAAATAGATCGAAATCAAAAAATGTGAACAAATAAAAGCAATTCACTAGTGAACGAACGAAGAAGAGAACTGATCGAAACGATAACAAAGATAATTTATTGCGCTAAAGAAAGGGAAATTACTCGTAATAATGGAAATTGTAACCTTTCGAATTCCGACTTCATTTCATCGCTAAAAATCCATGCGACAATAGTACTTGCATCAATGATTGTCATTGTAACCATTTTATTTGCAACCACACTCATCATCTTCAAAAAAAGAGAGTATCATCGACGTCAATCAAATTTTAAAAAAATTCCACATTAAACATTTACATCCGTATAAATTAACAACCAAAAATAATCACTTCAAGCTCAGACAACCCCAGATTATTTTTTAAATTCTTTATCAGCTTCTAAATACTTGAATGGTTTTTCATCAATGCAAAAACTCTTCATGAATTAATTAATCAATTTCGAAAACAACAAAACAATCAGAAATGCGTTGCACTGGATAAGCAACTGAAACGGTTCATTCGAAAAATATAATAAACAATAAATATTCACGAGAGAATTCACATCAAATAATACCTGCTGATTGTGCTTCCAAACCATATAAAGTGCTTTCAAAATTATCAATTGAGACTCTTCACTTGCTGCATATTGTTTAAACGTTTTGAAGTACCTGTCATTAAATTTCATTCATCTGCGAATCATTTTGAAATTTTGCACAGCCAACAATAAACAAAAGAAGAGTCCATATGAAACGAGTAAGCTGACCTCGTAAGCGCAGCAAACGAATGACTGATAGTTTTTTGTGAAAGGTTCAGAAGAACGGCAACACAAGTGCTCAATGCCTCTTCTTCAGAAACACTCCAAACATCTAAATCCGAAAATATCTCCGTTAATTCTTCATTCGTTATTTTGTTTCGAATCGCTTCATTCAAATGAATTGCCAATCGTCCAACTGGTGTATCTTCTAAACTTTCAAATCAAATTAAAATTTATACGATTATTAATTGTCAACTTAAGTATTGTTCTTTTTAGTGACAAAATAACAATTTCTCACAATAATAATTAAAAAACTGGAATTAAAATGTCTCAAGAATGAAAACGATAACAGACGTAAAGTTTCAAAGAAAAGAGCAAAACGAAACCATTTTCAATGTCATAAGTGATGTATGGTTTTGTTGGCATAATACGACGAAACGATTCTGGAAGACAATTTTCAATGCGCTGATGGTATGCAAGACACATACATTTTTGTAGCGCCTGAAATGTCACTTCTATATTGATAAATGTTCAACACTCTTTTAAATGCACCATTAAAGTTACATTTAACATTGTCTGTAATCAGAACATTTCTTTTAAAAGGAATGATCACTACACAGATCCACCCACCTCACGTATGAAAAAATATTTGGCGGATAGCGTATCCAACTCAAGGCAATCGCTCCATTCCGACCATGACCAACGGTACTCAAAATTTGACATGTGATAACTGAACCAATCGATCATTCTTAAATTAAATTAAAGTCAATGTCGTGATTATGACTGTTATCAATATACGCATTATATAAGTTATAAGCTGGCACTTCTCAATGTTTGTTTCAAACCTCGAAAAAAGGCTGAATGTCAAACTTCGAAAAAAGGCTGGCTTTACAAACACATACAGCACAAAAACTTGAGCCGCGATAAGAAATATGCGCAGTATTACTACATGTTCAATTAAAAATTAAAATAAAAAAAAAACACAAAGAATCTAATACTTCCACCAAAATATTTCCTTAAAAATCATTACCAGAGGAATTTCAAAACATAATAAAACAGGCAACAGAATACGATAACGGCTATGAAAACATACTGATCAACTGCAGAGAAATGCATTGTATCGATACGCTGATAAAGCAGTTCGGTTGCCTGAGCAATCACCTATAACATCAGTAACAATTAGTAGAGAGAAAGAAATCTTCAGAAACACAATCTGCCAAATAATGTTGTAAACGATTGAACCTGAGGCATGCTTGTTGGCTGAATTTTACACAATTCGATCAGAAGACTTCCATAGAAAAGTGGTCTTGTTGGTGGCTGTGGAAGACGGAAAAGTTGCGAAAAGATCACTTCAAGAGCCATGTAATTGATCGGTACCGTATGCCGTTTTTGATAATCAAGCAACTCAGTAGCACTGCAATCAATAAAACTTGAAGTGATTTAAAAATTTCAGCAAAAAACCTATAAGAAAACCTATTTCCAGCATATCATAAACGCTTATATAATGCAAACAACAAAGTTTCACCTGAAGCATTAATATTTCACATCTGAAATTAGATTCTCATCATTTAGTGATATCACCAAGCTGCTAAATTAAAAGAAATCTTATAAAATACGTGCTAATAATAATTTGTCGCTTTTAAAAATATGCTAAGAGTTGGAAAATAACTGAAAAAATGAACCATTCTTTCCTATTCCATATGTTCTCTTCAATGATCCAACTAAGATCTTCTTCAATCAAGAAACGTTCAATCGAATGCGCTCCAGGCAACAAAGGACCCTTTAGAAATGAAATTTCCTTCAGTTCCTTTTCTCATTAAGCAAAAAAAGCAAAGATAGCACAATTTATTATAAGAAATAATAGAGAACGCATTACATAATACACTTAAATATCAAAACGCGATTATAATTCTTTGGTCAAACATTCCTTGGACAAAACAACAACAACGAAGCACACACTCGATGCTCTTACCAATTGGATAGATCCACAAAAAATTCATAATGGAGCAATGATTAAAAGGATCAATGAGAAAAGAGGCCAACTGAAAGGCAGTTAAACTGGAGTCTGTAATGCATAAATGTATCACTCACCTCTTCTGGGCAATCCGCATAGTCGAACAAACGGAATACAACAGTTGGTAATGGATAAACGCTTTCAGGTGTATGCGGTGGAGCAGAAAAACTTAAATTAAAATCTAATCAAAAGATTTAGCGGATCGTGCAATCAATTACTGAAACTGGACTCCTAGAAAATCATTTCAACGCATAATAACTATTCTGAATAACGTAATCGAACACAATAAATCAGAAATATACCTGCTAATATTATGCTGGAGTGCACCTGCTAAAGTACCATCAAATGCCACATAATAATGTACGATATGCTTTTCTTTCCATTCATCATCTCGTAACTTTGAAATTTGTGCCCATAAACAATCCAAATATTCCTCTTGTTCATGCGGAGATCCACTCCAAACTTGTAGTAACTTTAAAATATCCATTAATATTTATTTACATTTCACTTATGATACTTGATCAATATTTTCTTCGTTCTGCATGCCCATTAAAGCAAACAAAACCGATACGAGATAACGAGCAATTTACTCAAAAAGTTTTAGAACATTCGAAAAAACTCAATTCCATCACATATAAACAATAGGACAAAAGAAAAGCATCTAAATTTACAACAAAACAATCTTGAGATTCTCAAACAGCAACTGAAAGTATCATTGAAAAAGAACAAACCTTAACGTATTGCTTATTTCTGTGAGCAATGTACTCGCCAATTTGCTCTAGAATATTGTTCAAAGCCTCTTTATCACTTTCATATAATTCATGTCCAACATACGGCAAACATCGTAATACTACGTAGATGAACCAATCACTTCGCACCTTTCAATAAATCACATTCAACTTTCACTAGATTTCTTTTTCAATATACACACAAACGCACTTGAACACTGATTATGAAGTAAAAATCAAAACAGAGTTTAGAAACAAATGGAGGAATTTTGATCGAATTTTATAAACAATTTAATGAAAGAGATATATCGTTAGCATGTAGCAGTAAGAGGATAATACCTGTGGGATGTCGTCTTCAAGTGCCGTTTCCATAATTGCTTCTAAATATCGAAAGAACGAGTCAACACTCAGCACACGACTATTGACGATATTTGCCAGGAAGATTATCTGAATGAAACAAAAACTGCAAAGTGATTCGTACAACGCAATCTTCATTAACGATGAGTTTCACTTACATAGATCATGTAAAATTGTCTGCGTTCATTTATTGAGAACAAAGAAATATAAATTTTGATGAATTTTATTTCAGAATGAATTAGTTTTAAAAACTAATTTACGTCAATGGTCACAATAATCACTGCAAAAAAAATCATTCAGAACGCTTCTGATTAGGATAGTCTAACCAAACGAAGAGCGTGACTGTAATTGCTTGTTTCGAATTTCACTCTTAATTTCTCGAGGACTGCTTCCAGCATCTAAAATATTGTCAATTCACGAATGCATATAAGATTAATGAGGCTTCAAGATGTCACTACTGAAATTCAGTTTCTGAATTGAGACACTGAAAAATGTTGTTCCAGTTTATTCAGCAATCAAATCGAATCCTTTTCTGATACAAATGAATGTCATTTTCGTCATTCCTTTGCTTGAATATATTCACACTCGTGATCGTATGTAATAATAGAGTTTGGCGAATTACTGCTGACTCTTTAGGCAGTAATATTCTACCGATACAGATTTTCATTACTTCAGCAGTATGGGGTTTCGCAAAATGTGTTTGCAACAATTTCATAAATTTAATGAAGTACTTTCCACCAATTCAGTTGGCAGATTGAAAAGTATAAAATGTTTCCGTATACCATACTTAACTGGACAACGGTAATGATCGATTACTCGAAAAATCAATACTAAAATTATGAAAGTGGATACTGACCTCTCCTCCAAATGCAAAATTCATTTTGTTGAGCAATCCCATCAATGTGGAAAAAACTGTCATCCGATCGGGTAGAAAACAGACACTGAAAAGTATTGAATGCAAATGCAAACCCGTTGAGTTTTACGCACAAAAAACATCGAAAACTGACAACATAAGGTTCTATCATTTCAGCTTTGAAAGTATGATGCATAAGAAAAATGAAATGAATGATCTGAAACGAAAACAAACAAAAAATAAATGAAGCAGTCCAAAAATTATACCACTGAGGAATGACTCTGAGTAGATTCTCCTTATAAACGTCAAGTTCAGATGAAAGAACCTGCGCTAGACGTTCCATATTTGATTCAAGTGAAGGAGCCTAAATAGATGCATTTGAAAAAGCTTTTTCAAGAATCACCTCATCAAAGTGAAATTACTGGAAATCAAATTCTTGAATGATATTTTCAATTAACCGGCGTAATTTAACCGAACAGAAGCTTCCTTTCTGCATTACCGCGAAATAGGAACGATTTATGATTCTCAATCTCAAGATAGAATGAATCGAAATGCGGTGTCCATAATATGTGCCATAATGGAAACGTTTTAAAAAACTAATTTTGGAAAAGGAAAAGTCGCTTTTTGAGCTGATAATAACAACAGAAAGCAAAAAAAAACAAAATTAGGAGACTTTATACAACGAAAAAACTAATGCTGGAATTGTTAGAAAAAAGAGATAACATAATGAAATTACCGCAACATCACATACAGTCGCCAACAGTCTTCTAAGTCGGCTCTCAACATCGGTTGGATTATGTAATCTTCGGCGCTTGAAAAACATTTCTTCATCTGAAATCGACAGAAAAATTAAAATCCTTATGGCCACTCATTCTGTTCTTTTCTTTATTCTTATTCCTTGATTTCGAAGAAATACACTTCATTTCAATTGCTTCTGATATCAAGCAATCTAACTGTGAGGAACCATTCATTTTAACAGTGACTTCAAAAAGTCTAAATACTAATGGAGAGCCGATAGAACATACTTAAAAAGTTCAAAAAATTCGTCTACTTGTTGAAAAGTCTTTCCAAAATTACTCATTAGAATGGCTATCAACATAACAAAAAAGTACCATCATCTTCTACTAAACGCTTACGACTGGTCAACATATTTGCCATTGTAAAATCGCACTCCCTGAAATAAGAATGTAGTTCTAGATAAATTCAATTCACTTAATCGAGAAGTTGCTGATGAAAATCAACAATAGACATTTACATCAAGACAGTTAAAGCGAACATTAGTGGCAAATCATTTTACGGTGTCCAACAGCTGATGACGAATTCGAGTCAACAAAACTGATATATTGTTAGCTTAATAAGTAAGCAATTAAATTATTTGTACAATGATTTGTATAACGAGGATGATTTGTACAATCACCAAAAAAATAATGTCTGAGGATAAGCTGGTCGTGCTTTGCCAAATCGCTCCTTCGCTTCCATTTACGTTAAAAATCTAACTGAACTGAAAATGCAATGTTGAGAAATAATATAGTACAGATTCTTCGGAGAATCATGAATGAGAGCGAATCAGTGATGCGGT